AGCCATGCTAAATTCCACAATGGTAACAAGGTTTTCAGTTAGACTGAATCTATTTTTAAACCTTTTCAATATGCAATATATGGAAATGAGCACCGGATGGAGCCAGTACGGGCAGCGTGAATTACGAAAACATTCCAATTGCAAACACAGAAAATTAGAGATTAGACAATAACTTTGCATAACAACAACAACAACCAAAATTAATTAAACCATGCGCGATATATAGTATATATATCTTTTGAGCTTTTGTGAAAATATTCATAGAGCGTCCCTTTTGAGTGTGTTTTCATAATCCTTTTTTCAAATTTATTATTTACTGATGCCCTCAGAACTGAGAATTGTAAGTGCATAATGTACAAAAAAAAACATTTCCGATGCAATTTGGTGAGCTTTTTGATAAATTGCATTGAAGTTTGTGTGAAGTTTCTCTGTTATTAAAAAAAATTTAACACTCAAGAGTTTGTTTATGTTTTATATTGCGTTCTTTCTGAAATCAGGATAGGCCAATAGAAACGATTTAATAGAAAACCAAAAGGGAAATAAAGTTGCTTCGATGGGAAACGAAGTACAAAAAATGTGGACATTTCATTTCAACGATGATTGTTTTTTTGTTAAAGCGAATATTTCTCGTATCCATTTCCATTCAACAGATATTTATTTTATCAGAGACTGTATGCGCATTTTTGACGCAATCGTTTCGACTTTCAATGAGTTTTCTATTATGTTAAGAAGTTTTCCATCTAAAACTCTCATGTCACGATATGTTTTGAGCAACTTAAACATATTTAGTATCCCAAATGAACAGTAATTAATTCGGATGCTATGTGTATCAATTGAATTACGAAAGCATTGTTGATTCAATCCACGACTGGAGTCGTGCTGCGTTTCCTATTAAATAAAACACGACCATAGAGTGAAAATGGATTTGTGTCGAGTTTGGTGTCCTAACTAAAAGTGGATGGTTTGTGCCCTGAACCAGATGAAGAATTCCGTATATACATAAGAACAGTGAAATTAAAAATCAAACTCTTTATGTATTTTTATTATTTTTCAAACAGATGTGGTCCTTGGAAAAGAGATTGCACGCTATTTATATTTAGTCGTTTTAACAAAGAAAAACTTTGTTCAAACATATCGTCACGGCCGGCCCTCTCCACTGTTGCAGCAGCAGCATACTTATGTAAAAGAAAAACAACCGAATGCAAAATCTACAGCACTGAGTATATTCTCACGTATTTATTTTATTTATGGGTTCTGTCTTCCGTTTCCTTTTGAACAATCCTCCAACGTCTAGTTTGCTTTTCGTTTTCATGAATTATGAATAGTATGTCCCGTTTTTCCGTTCTGTAGATTGTTACAATTCATATTGTTTGTACAATTCGGTCTCAAGCTCTAGAACACTCTATGATTCTTTTTCGTATAGAAGAATACGCAATAATTTTTCATTAAATTTCACATTAATCAAACACATTGGAAGTTGTATGGATGAGTCTCAAATCTATGGAAAAGATGAAGATTGCAACGGTGGAGAGTACTCCGTTAAATTCACCATTGTACATTGACTTTTCTAAATGTAACAGTAAAACCAGCAGACAACGCATTTACACACAATGCCATTCACAGTTTTCCGTCAATTTCAGCCATTAAATGGTGAACAGTTTTTCATTATTCAGAAATTGACTAATTGTGACGGCGAAAATCCCGCCCATTCATAAATGCTTTTCATACCGAAAATGAATAGAAATTCTTTTCAAAGTGAGAATTACCGATAGGTTTCACTAATTGGAATTTCATCTTATGTGCAGATGCAATTTTTTTAAAAATATTTCGCAAAATACGGCGAAAAAAAGTTGGTTTCTCTATAGAGATTATCATAATCAAAATTTCTGCTTTTGAATGGTTTTACTGTAGCAATGTGCATTGAGAGGAGAGCTGAAATATTAGATCGTTATACATACACTCCTCTACTTCAAAATTAATCGAACCTTTTAAAAAATAAAGGAATCTATTACGGATGGCATAATGTATTGGCATTTTTTTTCTTCTCTAGCTTGTAAACGTTGAAATTCAATCAAATAAAAAATAAAATCTATGATATCTATCTATCTTTCTCTATTAATAGAGGAGGTCTTGTTTTTCTATTGAAAAATACTCATTTTGGTTTATGAATACGCAAAACCAAAATCCATTTTCAATTTTACGTCGCTAATAAATCTATCTAATGTTTGTTCATTCATAATTTAGAACGCAAATTCGCATGATTATTTCAATAGCATAACAAATCATCAAGTCTTCCGCATACTTTTTCGGAAAATAAAATGAATTCAATGCCCGGAGCCAGCTTTGAGCACACTGTGCTAGTACGTTTAATGGCCATTTTTCGACAAATTGAATGTATTTGTTTGTTATCGAAACTTTTCAGTCACAAATTAAACCATCAATATATTCAAACAAAAGAATAAACAATAAATTCTCAATCACATTTATTTTTGGTAAGTTTGCGGTTTACGGAAACACACTGATAGAATTCTATCTGTATTTTACATATTTAATTTGATGTGTGTCATAATATTATCAAATATGATTTTGTTTGAAAAAGAGAATCGTACTTTCCATACAGCGGCGGCAACAGCAAACCCTATACACAATTTTGTTTTAAATTTGAAATTGATTTTCATCGAATGACCTAGACCCAGTCGAACCTTAACCGTTTTATGATAAGATTGCAACCGAAAATTGCCACAAAATACACCATTTCGTTCGAAATATGATAAATTAGATTGAAACTTTGTTTCCTTTTAAATAAAACTTTGTGCTTTCTTTTACACAAAAGATATGCGCGTAAAGAGTGAAAACATCATGATAATTTGCATCAATTCTGCCGACGACAAGTTTTAGTTCAGTTCTGTATTTATCAGTAAGTTGACTGCTTTTTAATTACGTTCATTTCTACTGTTCTTTACAATTGCTGTATTTTATAATGTCATTTCATATTTTATGGCATTTCCAACTATTCCATTCGAATAAGAAATCAGAAATGAGCAAAAATATTTTGTTGTTTTATTTTCGCTTTGAATTTCGTTTTGAGCATTTGAAAACATGAGAAATTATGAAAATAATTGTAGATGTGTCCAAGTACATGTGAAATATTTACGAAACTATAGTTTGAAATTCCGCTATAAAACAAAGAGTAACCGTTCAGCCATGGCGTTAAGCTGTTGTTCTCATTTATGTATATAATGAGAACGCTTACAAATGCTATCAACATTTTTATACCTTTTTTGAACGTGCACGACCATCATCATTCGACTACTGCGTGACTCCCTTAAAACATATGAACGGTTCGTTCTCTTTTTTTTGTAATTTTCTTTCTTCTCGCTCCCGGCAATGAAACCGAGTTTATACAAAATCATTTATCTTCCTATGATTCTTACTTTCTATGCGCTATTTCTGTGTAGTACGCATAAAATCATAAGAACGAAGACGTATTTAAATTACAAGGACTTAAAAATATGCTACGGAATCAGAGAAAATGACAAAGAGGGTGGTTTATCAACACAGAAACCAGACACGCACTCAATCGATTTGTTTTACGAAGCATCCAATGCAGACCCCCAAGTTTTGCACTGATTTTTTAACACACAGAAAACTGCTTTTGATATAATTCCAAAGAGATGTTGTAATATTATAAATTACCCTCATTCATCACCAAACAACCAATACATGCGTAAGTATTTCTGGTAATTGTGTGTGTGTGTGTGTGTATTTTTACAAAACATTGGAATTTTTGCTAAGTCGCGATTTATAACATGTTATCGATTATTCCGTCGTGGTGCGTGAATATTATTCGAGGCATAGATAAATGTCATGTTGTTGTCATTAAACGTCGACTCGATAGAACATGCCAAACATCAGTTCCATTCAAATTATCACCTTTACAATCATAATAAGCAATATTACTATACCAGTTTATATTATGTCAAAAGCAATTTTCTGTGAGAAAATAGAACAAAGTACCTTCTGTAATCGATTGAGGCTTTGTTCTGAATAACAATATTCTCCAAAATGTATGTGTATGTTTAAAAAAAATATATATCTTTCTATTAAGAATTCGAAAGAAAATTTACTTTACATTTTGAATAGATCGCATTTCCAATACATTGGCCTGCTATCTTTTTCTGTTTTGAGGCTCGAAATTTTATCTCTCCGATCCACATGATTTGAACATTTTGCTCATATCTACGAATAGTATGCCCTTGCATTTTACTAGCATCATTAAGACAGTGTTCAATATGAATTATGGCCAAATTTCGTCTGCAGCATAGTGAATAAGTTTTCAAAATTGTTCGGTATTTTTTTTCACCAGTTGAGTTTTAAATGTTGTATTTTTTTTTTCATCGTATAAATTCAGTTGGAAAAATTTCGTTTGATAGTGAAAGAATATTATGTCAAATGAACATGAAAGCAAACATAAATTTAATGAATCTATCAAGATTTATATATTTTTTTTGTGTATTTTGTTGATTCATTTGTTGCGCTTCTAATTAGTGCGTAAACACTGATAAATGCAATCTCATCGAGTTCATATCTGTCACGGAATAAATTAGTTGTTTCTAAGTTGTGTGTCCTTGTCGAAATGAAATCATCTCAAATATTACATCAAAATTGACATTCAACCGTTTTTGCTTATCGGTGAGATTATTTGGCCTGCCTGACATTCACTTTCTAAATGTTTTCAATCTGCCGACGAAATGTATAAAAATAAGTTTTGTTCATTCCACTTAGATGGTGATTTTTGTGATAATAATTCGAGTTCAACGTTGGTGAGGCTGAACTTATGCTTACATGATCTTGTTTTCATTACAGCCAAAAATTGAGATATTTGTGACTATTCACAAAGTGAAATGATTATCATCACATCGAGTAAACAGTTTTTTTTTTATTCGACAATTAGAAGAAAAAAACTCTCTGCCAGTGGTATCAATTTAATACAATATTATCAGTTTGTTGAAAAAATTAAGCATTAAAAGTGTCAGCACATATTGGATTGGACCGTTAGTAGCATTTTAGGTGTTAAATTAAGAGGAAGCAGCATTCGATTGATTATTATATGTGCATCATGTCGAAGACGAGGTAATTATTGAAATAATTACTAGATTCGTTAAGTTAAAGACCAAATTATAGTGAAATTTTATTAATTAATGGACCCGAATATTTTTATTTATAAATTTTCCAATCACATTGAGAAACGCATAATTTGTAAAGTAGAATGTTCTAATTTTATTCAAATTGAAATCCAATTTTATAATTTACAATTTGTTAACCATTGGTATTGAATTCAATTTAGCATGAATTTTCTTGAACGTTTTATGAAAATGTCCGGCACTAGTCATAATTTCATTTCGTACATTTCGTGTTTCCATTTAATTTCATTCATTTAATTACTGTATTTATATCTACCTAGGTCGTTGTTCACGTGGATGGTGTGTCTATTGGTTGTAACATACCAAGCACAAGCATTACCGCAAGAAGTCCAATGTACAATTACCGTTGCTGAGCCGACAACTTGTTACATTGCAACACCAATCTATTTACTGCCCGGTTACACGTTGAGCATCGTCAATAGCAGTGAATTGGTGAATGTAACACGTTTTGAATTGAGAGCAATGACCAATTTGGATCACATTCCGCCGATTATTTGGGCCGTTTTTCCGAATTTACAGGAAATCGTGATGGCTAATTATGCATCAGTGGCTACGTTAACAGCCACCGATTTGTTGTACGCATCAAATCTAAAGCTGCTCAATTTAAAAGGAAATAAACTAACAACAATCCCTTATTCGGCATTTGCATTGGCCAAATCACTTGAAGAGTTAGATTTATCCGGAAATCTCATTGCCACCATTGATAGTATGGCATTCAATGGTTTGAGTAATTTGAAACGGCTCGATTTGTCGTTCAATCGTTTGGCTTTGATCGATGCATTCACATTTTATGGTTTACCGAATTTGTTGATGCTCGATTTGAATCACAACAAAATCAAAACGATTGGCGATGGTACATTCAATTTGCCAAAACTTCAAATTTTAAACTGTAATTATAACGATGTAAAATTGCTCCCAGACCATTTATTCGGCCTACTCCCAAAACAATCACCGCCATTGACCTATGTTGATTTCGGTGAAAATAAACTAACTCACATCGGTGCATCGTTGTATTCTTTAAACGAATTGAAATTTCTGAATTTAACATCAAATAAAAAAATCGACGACATCAATTTGGAAGCGTTGGCACAATTACCGAAGCTTGAAATATTGTTGCTAACGAATAGCGGTTTCAAATTTCCAACACCGATTTCAGCATTAACTGTTACACCGCCCGAAGCCGCTGCCAGTATACCAATGCCAACATCAAATTCACCATTGCGAGAACTCTATATCGGTAAAAATAAACTCGCCAATCCAGATGTACTTCGACAACTAGCATACTTTCGTCAATTGGAAGTGCTAAGTTTGGAGGAGAATCAATTCACCATTATCGAATATATTAATTCATTGCCCACTTGGTTCCCAAATTTGCGTACCATCTATCTTGGTGAAAATAAACTGAACTGTGCCTGGCTCAACGATTCAATTCCAGTATTCCAGGCAGCCAATATACAAGTTTATTCCATCAAGAAAGTTAAAACTTGGTACGGAACCAGTTATCAACAAAAACTGATCGATATGGATGATTGCGTCGATCTCGCAAAAATTTTCAGCACTATTTTATCGTGGTTGAATAAATTCAGTGTAGCAGCAAATTAATATCAAGAGAGAAATATCCAATAAAATTTGCAATTCAATGCATAGTAACCAATATATTAATCGTCTTTTGATTTGAATATCGAATAAACACACACACTTTGCATGATCTTTTAATTCTTTAAAAACATTTAATCTCCGATGCGTTATTACTTTTATTATTTTTGGTTTGTTAACATTTCGAAATGGATAGTTCAACTGGATGCAATAAAAAAAATAAAAAAATAGCCATTGTAAAGTTTATTACTTGAACGGTATTGTCTGGTATGGATATATAATCAATAAAAAAAAGAAAAACTACTTTGAATCATCAATAGTCCGATACTTGCTCGAATCTATATTTTGAACGAAACAAATAACGATTGAATAATTTAAACCGTAATGCGTTCACACCACCGATATACGCATTTAAATGGCTACACTCAGCCCGGTTTGACTATATATGCCCCAATATTTAGCATATGATTTTTTGGTATCGTGTTTTTGTTTCTTTAATATCACAGCGACTAATGAAAACTGCAATATTCAAATTTATCATATTTTTTTACGGTCCATAAAAGAATGTATTTGACGTTTAAGTTATTTTTTTTTCTTTTTCGTAAAACTTTTCATGCAAAATTATGTGGCCATAATTTGAAACCACGAAAATGGCTTTCAGCAGGAAGTGCACTCATGAGTACGATTATAGGAAAGTATGACAGAATTTTTATCCAACAAATGCTAACTCCAACCATATAAGACATACAGTCAGACCATTAAACAAAGTATTCGGCCAAAAACTTTTGATGGACAATAAAATCTGAGGCTGGGACTATTATAAATATTTATGCAAGGGTAACTGATAGCGCGTTCGTAAATACAAGGATATTTTATGTTCGGTTATGAGCATTAAAATAGTCAATCTTCTGGGAAAAGTTTCAATTTTTCTTTTGGATATATTTTAACATTCATCGGTATGGTTTCATAGCATTGGAGAAGAAGAAAAAAAATCTTTGCTTTTGTTTGGGTCCATCACATTAGACACTGTGAACCACAATGAAATTATGGCGAAAAAAAGACCATTCAAATGTGCGAAAGACTAATGTGTTGCTATACAATATTGTTATATCCATCATATCCATGGAATGGATCTTTTTCGTCACTTCGAAATGCTCAATGTATCGAGAAAAATATAAGTGATTTCATCCAGCTTTTTTTATTATTTTTATTATTGTTGATAGTTTTTTTTTTATATTCGATTATCAAGGAGACGATAATAATTCGAAAATATTTTCATAGAGTTTCGTTCATTCCATTAGGCCGCTTTCAAATATGATTTGAAATCAATTAGAAAACTTTTAAAATGGGGGAGGGGTGATGAAAAACAAGTTAAAATTCATCTGACGATATTTTATATCATTCAATGGCAGTCTATTGGGCAATTACAATTTATAAAAGTTATATAATAGATTCCCCTGCTAAGAGAATGCCGAATCAAAATGGTAGTGATCAGAGTAAAGGAATAACATCATAGATAGTTTTAAAACTTTTGTTAAAATAATGTTTATGCGTTGTTCAAAGCTGTTATATCATACTTGAGAGTCATCTCAACCGATTACGAAATTCCAAAAGCTAATTCACATTTTTGCAAAGTGGAATAACTTGCGGAATTTGGTAATTGATGCAGTTGGTCAATATTCCAGAACTTTACAACGTATCATGGCACCGCTTTAGCTCAATTCAATTTGCTTTCAGATGTCAATTCAATCTGTTGATTCAATTTTTTTCTTCAAATTTTGAAAGAATACGAAAAATTAGTTTTCGAATCAGTATCCACTTCTAAAATTGACATATATGAGTGGTGGGATGGGTTGAGTTAACATGAAATAGAAAAAAAAAAATATATATATGAACTTTGCTTCCGGAACACAGAACATACAATGACGAGATAGGACATGCATCGAATGATATTGAAATTTGTGCTTAGTAATGTTTCGGAGCATGACATGATGATGCAAGAGATTGCGTCAGCCCATCGAATATTCACACATCAGCTCATACTTTTGCGATTATGAATATATTTTCAATTTTAATCTATTTCTCGCACCGTAACCTTGTACAACCATCAAGTATAATATCTATACAAATATATTTGCAAGTGACTAACGGTTAACGCACATTATTCATTGAGATGAAAATGAAGATTTCACGCTTCATACATTTAAATCGATTTATTTGATCGTTTTAATTTTCACAACCTATTCCCTTCGCATGGTGCTCGGGTGTGTGTGTGTGGACTTTTACGGGTATGACAAATGACTGGGGAAGACGATTATAAAAGGGAAAGGATAGAGGAAGCACATATTTTCCTTAACATTATAATAAAATTTTATTTCGATATGCTGGTAGAATTCGGTTTTTTTTTTCTCTCGCTAGCATTGAGTAAACATCATGTATTTATCGACAAATGTAACTGTTGTGTTAAAAAAAAAGCATCTGGTGCCAACGTAACACATTCAAGCGTGATTTGAAATATATTAGATATCACTCAACTACTCGGTTGACAGGAAAAGCAAACATTTAAGATTCGCAGAAACAGATGCTATAGATATATCAAATAACGTTCGGTCGATGAAATATTCGGAAGAACGAATTAATGTCGGAGATTGAATGCCCGTAATGTATTGTCTAGACGTTGATTCGCATTTTTACTCAACTATTTTCTGAATGAAAATTGCGTAATAATGTCAAGACATTAAGATATTTTTATACAATATACAGAGTGTCTCATATAAGTGGATGGCTACTAGGAAGTGTGACTTTTAATTTTCGTTATTTTGGGTACTCCATATGGATATTTTTGTGTAAGAGGCTGTTTGTTAAGCAACACAGGATCAAAGTAGAGGATTATTTAATAGAGAGAATACCACATTTATGTTATCCAAACTATTGATGCAAACCCATTACGATTCCTCAATCTTGATATCCTTTTCAAACCGTTGCCAAGTCCAGTTTTTTTTTCTGTGCTTCGTCTTTTTGCATAAATAGATGCGAATCATTAATCAGACATTAATTTCACAGACATCCGCTCATGCTACCAAGTGTACCATGTGAGAGAATTTTCATGGAAGTGAAATATGTGAAAAAAAAAATGGGAGAAGATATGGATGATGTTATAAATATTAGCAGGTACGTAGAAAAAACATGTTTTATTAATAAAACGATTAATATGTAAATTGCAGACGCCATATTTTATTGTGATTTTTCTTGCGTGAAATATTCAGATTTATATTTTTGATTTTAAACACATTCAAGCAGTGACTTCTGAACACCAAAAAGGGCATATAACAGTATGTGTCGAAACGTGTTATAGAGAAATATATATGTTATATCTATGATGTGTATGCTTTCAAAGGCAACAGCTTTCGGGTTTGAACCTTCAAATAGTTCTTCTTTAGCTTGATTTTGTGACTTATTTGTATGCGCTTTTGTGTTTGCGGCGTTCTACTTCAATGTCATTTTGATGAACAATATTTCATGTGATTTCGTTTGAACATTTTTCTTTCTGAAATTTTAAATTTGCGTGAAACGATCGTTCTCTCGAGAGATGTACACTTATTCAAAAGCAATCACTTCACATTCCATTGAAATAAATGTGACAGTGGAATACAGGAATAGTTGTGTGTATTTCATTAATTCATATCCTAAAGAAATCCACATTTTTTTTTTTTCAATATTAACAATCTATATGGCAATAGAAAAAAAGAGGTTAAAAGTTGCAATGCCTCTATGAATGCGGATGTCAATTTCAAGCAAAAAATCATCATCATCAACACCATCATCATCCAGTGCATTGAATTTTGGAATGAATAATTGTCAACAATGAGAGAAACTCGACTATGTTTCTGAATAATTGAAAAACATGTTTTACGCATTGAATACAATTTCTATAAATAACAAAGGGACTAAGTAAACAAAATGACATTTGAAGAAAAGTGTACGGTTGTTGAGACAAAGGCCGTGTATATATATAAATATATATGTATATGGTGATAATTACACGGCATTCCCTTTTACAAACGTTAGATTTCTCTCTTCTTTTAGTTAAATTTAAATCAGTGAAGCAGAAGAGAGAATATATCCGCAGGGTCGCAACGTTATTTTGTAAGCACTTGACATGGAAGTACTTTTAAGCACCCATAGTTGAATCTCATTGACATGATAAACCAAGAATTTAGATGGTATAAATGTGTTTTGAAGTAAGCATTTTGAGGGCACAAAGAAGCGTCAACATAGTTGCAATCTCATTTTTCGAAATTATTGCATGACATCAACATTGCATTTATGTCTTCAATTAGTACCAAATTGTAGAAGAGTAAACGTGAAGATTCATTTTGCTTCGTTGCATGGCTTTAACTGCTGCTGCTTCTTCTTATTCTTCGTTTTCTTTTGCATTCAGTGAAAGCCGCCATGTTTACTCAGTACGCAACAAAAATATAATGTTTTTTTTTTTGTGTACGATGGCCCCCATTGAATGGTGAAGAAGAGGAAGTGTTGCCGTCGACAAAAACAACACGAGTTCATCATTTTGCCTCAATAAAACCATCGAACGAAATATTCTCATTCCAACATTTATTTCATTGGGATCAAACCATGGAGTTGACGAATTTCTTGTTCATCAAAGTAAAAACAAACATATCACTACGTTCCATTGATAGAAATATACGAAATCTCAAAGATAATGTATGCTTATGTGTAACTGCAATGACTAAGAATTAAATTACAAATATACTTAAGTCGATAAATTCATTGAATTTTGTAAAGCCAACGTTTAAGAGACGTGTAGATTTTATGTAATCGTATTAATCTATCATAATCGCGACAATAAACACAGCGGAAACCATATTAACTCATGTGTCACATTGTCGGCACGTCGCCTTGTCATTGAGATATCAATGAAATATTTAATTCAATACGTGCATTTCAACGATCTTTTCAACTAAATCTTAGCGCCTGATTTGCATCAACTGTGTATGATTATTTGTTGTGTGTTTTTTAACCCGCCTAAAATCAGTTGAAA